CCCCCCCTCGGCAACACTGAAGTTTGCGCATCAAATTTGCCTCGTAAATTTACGAGGGGCTCGTAAATAGAGCTCCATACATTTTGACAATTCTTTTACGAGGCTCGTAAATTTACGAGGTTTACGAGGCCTTTACGAGACCCCTTTAGTAAAAATAAAGTCGACACAGAAGGCATTTTCAGCTTTTTGACGTAATTTCCAACGAGTCTAACGTGATACATGCCACATAATTTGATAATTAACGTAAATGATCGACAGGTAATAGTTTTAAGTATGCATGTTTATACATTTGACTGCATCACGAAAAAAGTTGCGGTTTTTCCGCCAGGATTACAAAATTTATAATATTCTAAGACGTCCGCCAAAATATTTCGGAAAAATATTAAGATTTAAGAGAGCTGGGCCGATTTGAAAAAAAAACCTAAAAAAATTGAGTTTTTTTTAAATAAAAATAGTTTCTTAAAGAACTTTTTGAAAAAAGTCCCCTCAGATGACAAAACAGATTAAGCTTAAAAAATCTGCATAAAAATGCTTAAAAATCTTTTCAACGGAATCGTAATAATGAGATTTTTGATGCTTTTTTTTACTTTTTTCAAAGATTGATTTACAAAAAACTTGAATAACTGGGCTAAAACTATTCTTTTTAGACTTATCGGATCTCGATACAAGGGTATTTTCTTTTCCCACTGTTTTTATTCCTGTCCAAAAAAAAAAAAGTCATTCGTGTCCAATTTTTTTTTTTCAAATACCAACACATCTTAATTCAGCTTTGAATGACGTTCGTTCAACCTACCTTTCTCTTTCATCCTTTTAATGAGTTTATTATCAAAGAAATAAAAAGGGTGAGAATACCTTTCCAATGACACCTCTTAAGTCTAAATGGGAAGAGCTTAGGTTCAGTTATTCAAGTTTTTCTTATACCATTCTTTGAAAAAAGTTAAAAAACAGCATGTATGTTACCGCATAACTTTGGACGACGTCAAACGATTTCGATAATTCTTTTTGCAAAGGTAGTATCGGAAAGGTAGTGTCCCAGAGGTGGTCCCATACTAATCTGATTAAGATCCCATCAGTGGATCATGAGATATATATATATATATATTTTTTTTTTAATATGAGAGTTGAAGTCGGTTTTTTTTTGCTAAGAATTACTTATTTTTAAATATTTTCATGCAAATTTTTTAAGCTTCAACCGTTTTGTCATTTGAGGGGGTTTTTTCAAAGAAATCTTTAAGAAACTATTCTTATTCATGAAAAACTCTACTTTTGGAGGTATTTTCAAACCGGTCCAGCTCACTTAAATCTTAATATTTTTCGGAAATATTTTGGTGGACATCTTAAAATATAATAGATTTTATAATTCTAATGGAAAAATAGTGCCGATTTTTCTTTGTATGGGGAGCGATGCAGTCTAATATACATACATATGTTTTGAATAGGTAAGAAATGCAAAAGAACATCTACTTAGTAGAGGTGTCAAACTATCGATAGTCACACCATCGATAGTTTTGATAGTTTTCAGAAAAACTATCAATACTCACGATAGTGTCGAAAAAAACAAAACTATCGATAGCACTATCGATAGCGCTAAATCGGTTCGGTTGCTTTGTTTTTACAGGATCATAGTGAAATAAATATTATCTTATAAAAGTTATAATCATTCAAAATTAAGTAAATGCTTAGCCAAAATACTTCTTTTTTTATGAAGTTCAAAAACAAACACAAGTTATACCAACAGACCAGGATTTACGATTAACATATGTACGTATTTTGGCCTAAATGCGTACATATGTAAATATGACGTCGGCATCACACTAAAAAAAAAACAAAATTTTTAATGTAAGTATTAAATGTGTCTAGATGGGCAATGCCCAACCCTATGCA